AATCAAAAGGGCTTTGTAGCTTTCCTCCCATTTCAAAAAGAGGATGTGCCATTACCAAGGAAGAAAATTCTTATTTCACCAATGACCAAGTAGACCAAATCAGTAAAGTGTCAGGCAGTATTGCTTATTCTGCATGAAGGTTTTGTCATGAATCTGAATTGCTGCAGGGCTTTAATATTTTGCAGTTTTCATACTTCTTAATTACACTATGCTCCTAACCGATGGACAGTTTTGATCTATAAGCTGCTATGATTTAGAATGCTTTTGTTTCATTTTATTAAAAAAGCACAAGTTATAATATTTTATCAATTGTAGTTATTACGAAGCACTTCTGCTTCTTAAATTATGAAACACCTGATGCAAGTTGAGCATTTGGAATCCGTGCATATTTCCCAGCCTTAGCAGTTGGGTAGGGCGGGGGGAGATGGGATTCTTAAGCTGAATGGAGGGGACTGACTTGCTTTCTGAGGAACCTGAGCCTTGGAGCCCTTGAGCTCCGCAGCTAAGCCCCATACTGCAAGTGACTCTAATTTGCTTGTGACTACGAACTATAGTAGCAGGCAAATTAAAAATAGAACTCTAAAAGGATGAAAATGGCCAAACACATGGTATTTATTGCAAGAACTTTTTAATACAAGCTAATAGGAAAAAAGGCATTTTTAGGGTATGGATAAAACCAGATACACAAATGGGTGTTCAAAAAAAAAAAAAAAACCAACCCAAGAAACCCTGAGAACTGTCCTGAAGGAGCTTGACAACAAAGGAATCTATGAATGGGGAGAAGGGATAATCACCTTTTTATGTGCTTCTATAAATATCTTCAACAGAGCATTTGATTTTTTTATGCTTTCAATCAGGTACATAACCTGGGAGCAGTATCTCTTTGCTTTGTTGGAAAAGTCCTATCAGTACCTTTGGGAAGTAATGATGTTGGTAGTTATATAAGTATTTAGAGGCGGGTCACTAGAAAGAGAAGTATCTTGTGACAGAAAATTCCCAAAACTTCCTGAATTGATGTGGCAGGTAACTTCTTGATCCTAAAGACCAAGTATCCTTAATCTCTGCCTTTCTAGTTGGAAGGATTTTGAAAATAGTATTAAAATGATTTTGCTTTCCTTAAATGGGTAGAGCTTGGTTCAGTTCAGCATAGTATAGCAGGTCCTGGGATGAGAGGGGGCGAGGCCTGGGGGCTCCACGTTGGTGGTATCCTGGACGGACACACATTAACTGGTTGGGAGATGAAAGAAGCAAGGGTTCCACTGGGATGATAGGGAGGAGGGTGCTCACCCTTGGTTGCTGATCCTGGGAAGGGGCTGAAGTAAAAACATTACTTGGTGTAGAGGGCCAGGAAGAGGGCTTTTAAGCCTGAGCTTCCCTAGGTCAGAGCCATTCTGTCAGGATCCATAGCACAGAGTCATGGCCCAGTGATTGACTGGCTGAGATGGGGCCAACAGGTTAAGGTGGTGGGGAAGCATCATCTTCATGGCTGCTTCAGCCAGTGTGGGAGCCAGACAGAGGAAGCACTCCAGCTGGGAGATCGGCAAGCGATGCAGCACAGTGAAAAGCCTGATGAGCATGATGATTTACCTCTGGTGCGGGTCAAAGCCAACCAGCACAGGCTGTTTCCATTGTGCTGGTGCTGCCCACGGGCTGGGGGATGCAGGTGATGCCCAGGCAAGTTCAAGCTGAAGACAAAGCTGAAGCTCAAGTTCAAGCAAGCTTGGTGCAGGGCTGCTACCTGCAGGGCCCCACGGAGGAAGGCGGAGGGTGCCAGGGAGAAGGCTGCTAGGAAGGCAGCAGTGCAGGCACAGGGCCCACCAGGCCCCAGGGCAGCCTCATTCCAGGAAAATAATGGTATTCCTCTGAAGAGGAGGGAGAGCGGGACGTATCTGAGGTGGAAGGGGGGATTGGAGGGGGTCAGGGGAGCAACATGACATTTGCCTGTTGGAACCAGGAACTACACGCAAACCCTGGCCCTGAGGCAGAGCCCACGCTGCTGGAGGTTACATGGGGTGGGGTGTCTAGGCTGGGACCCCCAGGAGCTGTCACCCTGCCGCCACAGGCTTCCAGAACTGGAGCAAGAGCCAGTGGCCTTGCTCTGAGGAGCAGTGCTGGGCTCTCCACCACTTGCTGCAGCAGAGCCGGTAGTAAGGCGGGGAGGGCTGGCTTGGTAAGAGGTGAACACCCATTAGAAGGTTCAAAAGATTAGGTACAGGGTGCAGTGCATGTTTCAGCATTTACTTTGAGAAGCCATAAAAACATACTGGAAGGATGGAAGAAGGGAGAAGGTAGTGTAAACAGCACTGAGGGTTCAGCTTCCAGCTTCACCACTTGGGCAGCAGAGACAGGGTTTTACAGGCCACTGCCACCTTCCTGTTACCATGGGCCTTGTTAAGCATTGAAATGCAATTGCTGCTGCCTTGTGCCTGGGAGAAATGACAGAGCATTGCATATACACAGCAGTTGGGACACACTTGTGGAGGTGGGATGGAAATGGGTTTATCACTAGAGACCACTGCCTCCCTCCAGTCCTGCCCCTGAGCTCCGGAAGGGCCATGGTTCATCTCTCACTGAAGGCAGCATGATCCAGTTTCTAGCAGGATGAAGCACCACTTTCAAATCCCACAATTCTTTTCTGGTAGGAGCTATTTTCAGGCCTGGTTTACGTGTGTGCTGTTGCCTAGGATATAGGGACTGACACATGGTTTGGGACTGAAGCTGGTGAAAAGGGAGACCAAGCCAGAATGGGCATAGTAGAGAGCAATTTAAAAGTAGCAAAGCCCAGGCAATGGTTAATTGATGGGCTAATGGTTAAAGAAATGGGCTAAAGCACTAACTCCGTTAATTCATGGAGCTGGGAGATACTTAAAAGAATCCCACCTGAAGCCAAGGTGTATAACCCAGCCACTGCCAGAGTCCATGGGAACACTGGAATGTGGTATGTCTGTACAATAGGCAGGGACACCTTCCACTAGACCAGGTTGGTCTGAGCCCAGCCCAGCCTGGCCTTGAACACTGTCAGTGATGGGGCAGCCACAACTTCTCTAGGCAACCTGTTCCTGTGCCTCACCACCCTCATGTCCAGTGACATGTGAATGGGTTGTCATTTATATCAGCCTTTTGGGCACAGAGAAAGCTGAACAGGAATAAAGAACATTTTCAACCCTTTCCTCCTCTGCACTTTCAGCACCAAGCCAGTGGGAAACGGAGTAGTCCTTTGAGGAAACTGACTTTCCTTGTAGCAGAGGTCAATCATCTTTAGCTTTCAATGCCACATACGACGTGCAACGTGCAGTTCATGTCGTGGCTGCTGCTGGAGTTTTAATCTGTTCAATTATAATATATGGAAATTTCAGGGGTTCAGTGCATCATTGCCAGTGGGCTGTCCCACAGGCTGGCTGACCTGTCCAGCAGTAACTCAGAGGACTGTCCCAGCATGTGGAGGAGGCTGAGGGATGGGCAATGGGTGCAAATAGGGTTGGGTCACCTCCTGTCTGCAGGCATGCTGCAGGTGGGTGCAAAAACTATCTATTTAAGAACTGAAGTGGACCACAGATAGGAGTGAATTTTGGCTAGTGGGGAGAGAGCTTCATTTGGGCTGTGAAAAAAGCCAGGGAAAATAACTCACAGCCAGTCACAGTTGCCACGGGGTATTTTTTTTCTGGGGGGGCGGTTAGTGTGGAGGGGATTTCTGAGAGTAGTAGCACTGGGCAGGGGGTCCAGCACAAT